CCTTCAATCGCAAATTTCTCGACTTATACACAAAGTAGATGGGTATTTTATTCACTACTCAAATTTAAAATTGTATTCATATACATGGAAGCTCAAAGTTACAAAACATAAGGCAAACTTTAAACTATTTTTCCTTTCTCCTTACTGATTTGTGAAACGAAATTAATCAAGAATTGAATTAGGAAAAGGTTAAAAAATATTGTGTAAATCTAATGGCTTGAAAATACAACAAGCAACATAATATGCAGATGTACAAAAAATCAGTGGTACAGTATTCATTAAAACAATTCGTGTCATGACACAGAGGAATCAGGCGCTCATTAATTTTTGGGCAAAAGGAGTTTTTAGTATTTTCTAAAAGCCTGTTTATTTGTCTTGTTTTTTATGAAAAAAGTATAAGTCTACATTGAATAAAAGTGCCTTTGATCAACAAATTGAGGCAAAATTTTTTTTTCTCCCAAAAGCCAGAAAAATGCTGATTTCTTTGACCTCATTATTTTTACGAGCACCTGATTTCACCACTATGGTCAAAAGTGAAACATAAATTATAACAACTAAATTGCTTACCAACAACAACACACTTTTTAAAGGACAGGTTAAAGATAAAACCAATACAAGAAAAATGAGCTCAGATTGAGCTTTCACTGACACAAAGCACCAAGCCCTCCAACAGCGGCAGCTAAGGAGCCCAAGCCATGACCACTTTGTTGAAAGCCACAAACACTCCCTTGCTTGGTTTACTGGAAAAAAACAACAACCCAAAAACAAATGTAAATTCAAACATTGAGTGGATTTGCACATTTTCTTTTCCACTCACAATAAACTCAGTCTGTGAAAAAAAAATTAACTAAATTAAAAAAAACCCAGATGGAAATTGATTAGTTTGGACAGAGTAAAAATGTAAAAATGTTATTGAAACATTGAGTGAACAAATGTATTTGTTTGAAATTGGACAGTATATTAATTTAAAGAATTCTCTTTCCTGGTAGATTTCCCTTTGTTTGACTTTAAACATAACATTGATGGTCTAATGTTGCTGAAGGGGGAATCCCTTTTACGTGTCATAAAGGTTAATCCAAAGATGGATCACTCTGTGCTATACAGAGAGAAGGTACAAATAATCTCTGAATGGAAGCAAAAATTCCCAGCCAACAAAGATTGTAACAAAGAGCTTCGACCTACTGGCTAAACTTGTGACCAACTTGAAACAACTATACTATTTGAAATGTAAGAAAAACTTACCATTTGAAATATCGGATGCCCTCAAATGTTCCGTCATGTTTTCCTTCTGCGAGAAAAAAAAAAGGGGAGGGGGGGAGAAGGCATCATTATAATTATGTTATGCGGAAAAAGTAACAACAAATTTGTCCTAACAACCAAATAACTTTTTGGTATCAACGCAAAATAACAAAAGTCTTCAGCTGTGCACACACATAACATATCAATACAAGGCAACTGAAAAGGAAACTAGAACTGCAAGACACACAGATCAAGTGCCCTTTTCACCTTTTGATCATAATGCCTACCTCCTGTAGGTTGGGGGATAATGTGTAGAGCTACCACACACCAGCAGGAGGTGCAACCTTTCAACTTGTGGAACAGCATACATAAACAAAACTGAAACCTTACTCATACGTTCATATATGATATTTGGTTTCGTTTATCTTTTCTTGCGTTCTTTCACTTCTTGTTTACAGCGGCAAAAGGTCTTTTAGCCCTGTGATAACAGTAAATGAAAGAGGACAAAAGAGGATGCACTTAAATGACCTAAATTGTGTCATGGGAGTGTAAAACATCTACAATTACTATTTCACAATTTGAAGTGGTCTATTTGAGGCTGTACTCTAATTGTAAAATAGTACCATCTACTACTACAATTTTACAATTTGATGTGCCTGCAGTCTAATTGTGCATTATATAGTAATATTGTAGATATTTTACGTCCCTTCAAAGTGGTCTGTATGAGTCAGTGATGTAATTGTCAAATATTTAGATTGTAAATGTTTTACAACCCCATAGACACATATAAGAGACATCCTGGTGAAATCAGGTGCTCGACAAAATCATGAAATTGAAGATACAGGCTTTTTTCTACACATTTGGAATTTTTTTTTCAAATTTTCCTTTTTTAGCAGAACAGCTTTCATTTCCATTTCAAAACACATTTCTCTCTGGATTTTACTGAAAAATGTTGATTAAAGGCATAAAAAAGGTACATTTTCAGTTTCCAAGAACTTTGAACAATTGAAAGGCACCAGGCTTCGGTGACAATTTTCTCCCTGATTTTATCTCTGAAATCAGGTGACCCCACTTCCTTCTATCGCAAATATCTTTATTTCTCTTTAAGATAGATGGGTATGTTTTTCATAGACAGATAGATATATGAACCGGCTTTAAGATGACACCAATAACTCTACACGCCCAAAAAATTGACGAGAGTCTGATTCCACCACGCCGTGATACATTAACCATGTGGTGTCGGTGGCCTAGTGGTTAGGCTACTGGACTCGTAATCGTGATGTTGTGGGGTCAGGGTTTGAGCCGTGGGCCCGACGTTGTGTCCTTGAGAAAGGCACTTGGGAATGGGTACCCGGCCATAGACAGCGAAATATCTTGTCAGTATGTTAGTGTTTTAGCTCCTATAAATTGCCACTTGCACTGTATGCTTCCCAGGAAGTAGAGGTTGTTTCAGAATGCTCGCAGGTCTGCTGGGGTAATAGTATAGATTGGGAAGTGCACACAGCTTGCTGTTGAGCGGGGATTTGCACTTTACAAATGCTATCTATTATTATATACATATTAGATCCTTTCGGAAGCACGCTGCTTCAACACTGTCTGTGGGGCCAGCTCAGGTTGAGAGGGGTACAACGTCACAGCACAAAGACCAAGGGGGACATTTGATTAAAAAACCTCCCCACAGGCAAATTCAAAACAAATTGCAAAGACAAAAGTTTCAAAAGTAATGCAGAGAATTGATTTAATGGGCTCGTTACAAACACAGTTGCCATTTAGTTCTTTCTATGAGACAGTGTGTCTGAACCATGACGTAGATGACAATGATATGGATTAATTTAATTCCTGCTCCAATACGTGTACAGAACTCATCTGGCTTGTTTAACTTATTTAAAATGTGAGCTCTGTTTCCCAATTGCAACGATTTAAGGTATTCCTATAAATTTCCCGTGACGTTCTAAAAATCGTAGATGCAAACAGGTTTTGTTATTTGACTAATTGCCATTTAACACTTTGCAGTCACACAGCCGGCACTACAAAATACCCAATCCGGTCACCCAGCCAGGAGAATGACTGCAACGGAATTCTCGGGCCCGGCACAGAAGTGACCGAAACAAATAATCTTCACCGGCGCAGACCACAAAGTGTTAAATACTCATGAACCCAAAATTTTGATTTGTAAAAAAGTTGTTTCCGCATCCCATCCAGACATTGGGGATTGCCTTGTTCTGGGTCTTTGGCATATTGTGGTAGGACGGTCAGTTCCCTTCCATGCCACCTTTACTTCCCCAACTCGAAGTCAGGTACCCATTACTGCTGGGTGAGCAGGAGGGGGCGAAAAAAATCTGTGTCCAGACCGAGGCTCGAACCCGGACTTTGCGCTTTAGAGACGAGAGCACTACCACTCCACCACTGCACCTTTGATTTGTAATTTTTTATGAAAAAGAATATATAAAAAAATTGTTTTAAATTGGCTGAATTAACACACATGGCCCCTAACGGCCAAAAATTTTCAAACATAAGGAATCAAGAACTAAATCCAACTGATGTAATTCAATGTTTTACGGTCATGAAGACGTATCAAAATGCCTTAATCTAGTCTGCAACCGCCTAAATAACTTTCATTTTCCTTCCAGCACTAAAAAATTTAACTGCAGCCAGTCAGAAACGGTAAACAAGATGTGCACTGTTGTAGAAACTACAGGCTATATATAACCACTGCAGTTTCAGTGCAGACTCTCCTCATGCAGTGACGAAGAAAGTTCATCTTATATGATGTCCAAAAAGGGAATCAAACTGTACATATTTTTAACCATTTCAAAGATTTTTGTAGGCTCTCCCGCAAAGCTTGAATACAAAAACTAGCAGAACACCACACGAAGAACTTACCATCTCTATCCAGCTCCACACCGAGGTAAGCCTCGCCTCGTCCAGGCAGGTGCCCCACAAACTTGACCACCCCCTGAGTCAGTTTTCCTCCCTGTCTGGAAAATTTGATGACATCCTCTGGTCTGACATCAGCTGGACTTCGTGGTGCAAAAGGTCGCATGCCATGTGTCAAAGAGCTGGGAATGACAATAAATTGTTCATCATTAGATGACTTCATAGTACAAAGTTTGTTTTTGCCCTTCTTAACCACTATGTGAGGCATCTCACTGAAATCAAAATAATGAAATAGAAGAAATTGGCACTTTTATGGCCAATTGGCAATTTTTGTCTAATTTTCTTTTTTCGGCTGAACACCTTTAACGTCCAATTAAAAACACAATTTTGAGAGGATTTTATTGAAAAACATCGATTAAAGGCACAAAAAATGTAAATTTTCAGTTTGAAGGCCATGGAAGTTACCAAACTTTGGTGGCTATTTTCTTGCAAATTTTACCTCTGAAATCTGGTGACCCCGACTTCATTCAATCGCAAATATTTCGACTTCTGTTCAATACAGATGAATATTTTTTTCACCAAAAAGAAGTAAAATGAACAGGCTTTAAGAAGATACCAATAACCCCACATGCCCCAAAATTGACGAGCGCCCAATTCCACCACGTTGTGACACATATATGTCAGATACAAATGTTTCACAGTTTGTTTTTTTCCCCGGCAACAGATCATTATTACAATGATATGCTCGTCTTTACATAGATCTACGTAATGAAGTGTGCGCTGGTCTATGGAATAAAAAGCAGCTGTATGCTAGGCTCTAAACAGCAACACAACTTTCTGGCAAACAATTGAAATGACACAGGTGTGCATTTGAACATATCAGTCTTTTTTTAACACAGCTCATAATATGCAGGCATTTCAGGCACCACTTGTTATTTCTCTTTATACATTATGTGATCGGTGTCTGTAATTATCTACACAAAACCTCATGTTTGCTCTAACGAACACTCGGATTCAACGAGATTTTAGATCAGGCCCGGCGACCTCGTTGAATCCGAGTTCCACGGTATTTAATTAATCTAAATCAGTTCCTGTTTTAAAAAGAAGAATGAGACTATAGGACCAAACAATGTGCCTCATCAAATTCGACAATATACTTTATTTTAATTTTTTCTCTGAATTTTGACACATATTGCAATGTTGAATGACGACAGTACGTACCTGCCAAGAAGAGAAGCAGCTCCCTTGCTGGTGATCTCCCCTTTGTTGTGCTGAGTGACCATTGGAGCAGGGAGTACACTGCGATGACCAGCGCTAGACCTGGCACTGTCTATTGAGGACAGCGGCCTTGTGGCTGAGCCGCTCCGATGTAAGGTAGTCATTTGGCGGCTGCGTGAGGAGTCAAGGCCTGTGGGCAAAGATGAAGTATTGGATGATATGACATTTAACTCTCTTATATGTGTCAGCAGGTCAGCACAGCAGAACCAAAATGGCAGCCAGCTGATGGCTTCCCAGAACCGAGTTGGTCCAGTGTTTTTCAGAGGTTCATGGGGTGTTGCAAAGAAATTGCTTTTGCTTTTGATCTAAGCGACGTATTTCAAATAAATTTCACATATAATTTATAAAGATCAACATCAAAATTTAGAGTGGAATATTCTTATTTCAATTATTTCAAAGCCTGCACTAAACGCGAGTGTTTCAAGCCGGTAAAAGCCAGTACGGCGCCACAAAGGGAACGCCGGAATAGCAACATGACGGGAAGGCTGGATTAGGCCTGTACGGCTCAGGTTAATTTGAAAGTTTATTGAGGCCATATGCACATATTACACAATTCTTTAATGATTCAACAAGAGGTCATAAAAAATATAAAACAACATATTAGGCTAATTGATCACAGAAGAGCACATCAAAACAAGTAAGGTCATTAAACTTTAGGACAAAGATTCACCTACACCTTTAAACTCTTAAAGCTTGAACAAGCAAGGGGAAAAAGACCCTCATTGAATAGTTTGATTTGTAACAGATTTAGATCTATGCCTCTGAAAAATGTATGCCTACTGCACATATGGGTATCAAATAAAATTATGACTTGTTCAAGGAATAGGAACATGAACTTAAGTCATTATAAAGTAAAAAGAAAGAAACGGAAGGTAGTTTGAAAGGAAGAAGCATGAAATTTATATCATAAGATACATGAGATTGCTCTGATCATCCAGTCCTGGCTGGTTAACAAACTTATCCAAAACTGTAAGTATTGAGCCATACACTGACAAAGAGCAACCCGAGTCATCTAAAAAGGAACAAGTGCTACTAGACTTCTTATTCACAGTTTTAGTCAACAAACAAACCTCTGTGGGCATCCACAGATTTGGAGCGTCGTCTTAGGGCACTATCAGATGGCTCATCTACATCACTCAGGGAAGACAGTGAGCCATTGGATCCGACAGATGTACGTCTTTGATGAATACCTTCAAGATCAACAACACAAAATGGGAGAGTTTGAACATAAAAAGGAGGTAGATCGAGTTTTGATGACAAGCTAAGAAGCCATTATTTGCTTAACGACATAAACCTTTTCAGAATGTTTGATAGGTGTGTCATTTATAATTTACGCTGTTTATGGAAGTTTCCTCTGTAAAAAAAAATAAATATATATCCTTTATGTGATATAGGTCAATAGCCTTAAACACTGAATTAAATACCTACCTAAGAAGCCATTCAAATACATGTATTGTGTCAACATTACTCATCAGAATGCTACCAACACAAGCTTGAGCACTCCAACTCTAAATGACCCAAAATTTCAGATATGATTAATGTCTCTAGGAAAAAGATGTCAAAGTTGAAAAGTTTCACATAAAATCGGAATGAAAGTTCCCAAACTCATTTATATACACATATTATGATACTTTGTCCACTAGAGAATGAAACTTACACATCACCACCCCCCCCCCCCTTTCCCTCCAATCCCACACAAACATCCAAGGAATACCTTTTTCAGTAAGCTTGAGAAAGAAATGAGTACGACAAAAAAATAACAGTTCTGTGGCCATTACAAGGGTGTTTCCTTTTTTATTTGCAGGAACAAAAAAAATAAAAAGGAAAATAAAAATCAACAAAAAACAAAAATTCTCTTCATTTCTCAGCTGGCAAAAAAACAACAAAAAACGAACCTATTTGAACTCATCTCCACATATAATCATATCCTGCAATATCAAGACTAAAACCAACAAATCTGTGTTTTGAAAATGACAATGTAGACAAAAAGAGAACTTTCTCTCAGACGGAGAAGTCTTCAATGAATAAGAAAAGGCTGGGGTAATACCTTTAATAAGCAAGAGCGAGAGTATGGCTTTAACACCCCTACCAACACTATTAGATTAGATTATTTAAATGGCATGAACTCCGAATTTAACGTTCGTCTTCGATAGGACTAAGACAAATGGGTTGAGAGCCTTGAAAACTCCACAAAATGACCCGAGTTCAAGAATACCAATCTGTGATTCAAACCAGGGTCATCTACACCTTAGTCATCCAGCATGATACTAACTGAGCTGACTGAGTGCCTGGGGTAATACCTACTCTACCATTTATTAAGCAAAGCTACAAACAATAGCCTATTCAGAAGAAAACAAAAGTAAAAGAAAACTCATTCAGTGTGAGAAGTCCACTTCTGATAACTTGATATCGCCCTGCCATGACACAATAAAAAAGAAAGTATCAAATGAAAAGATAGTGCTTAACCCTAACCGTATGGCTTATTTTACTATCGTATCCATACGTGGGAAAATCTGTCCCACCACTTTCAAAGAGGAAATTTACTAATTAATGCGATCCGTACGCTTCGCGTAGCAGTCTGACAAAGTGATTTTTTTTAGAAATACTGAAAGTTTCAAAGAGATCTTCATACTAGAGTATTCTAAAATGTGAAGAATACAACCTGGGGGTTAATGTTATCATGAGAATCTGCACTTATACATACAATGTTTAAAACAGGTATCTGATGCAATCGCTATTATCTAATCTACTATACCATTTCCACCATCATCATCATCATCATCTTATTTCTGAACACCCATAAAGCCATCTTTCTCCAGGAGCAGCAATTACAGGCAGTAGCAGTAAAAGCTACTTTCAAGTGATTTTTCAACCATAACAATGTTTAACAGTCTTATTTTCAGAAAATAACTAACATCAGGCACCTATATACAAATAGGACACGGGACCAATAAAAAAAAGTCATCTGATACAAAGTCAAGCAGCATGGTCTAACTTTCATGCTGCAGATGTAGTAGTAGTATCATAAGCATTGCTCATATGCACAAAACGTAATAACAGGGAAATCAGCAAAATAAGATGCAGAAGTAACAGTATAATGGTGACTGTTTAAAGGACCGATGGTGAAGTGAAATAAAAGTAGAGCCTTCTAAACACTGATGATATAGAATATAAATGTGAATGCATAGGGACCTCATATTGGAGTGAAAAAAAGTAGAATGTTCTTAAAACCGTAATAAGCCACAATTTTAATGAAAAAGTATATGAAAGAGGTGACAGTGTGGAAGTGTGGAATAAAAGTAGTGAGTTCTTAACACAGTTATAACAATATTATTAACATATGAGAAACTGACAGTTGCTTAAACACAATAGTAGTATGGCCTTACCAGTCCTAGCATGTCTCCCAAAGGACTTATCCTTACCGTTACAAACTCCAGCCTGCCATAGGCACAAACATAATCCCCTTACATGCTAGACCTGTCCCATGGCACTGGCCCAACAGCACACCCTCATTCATGCATGACCTGTGCTTGTCTGAAGGTAAACACAGCAGGCACAAACCCACTTTCAATAGCCCTACTGAACAATGGCAAGTGTCTGAAAGGGGCTCAGTGTTGATACTAAACAGGTACAAAGAAGACTGCATTAATTCGTGCCATTCATGTGACTACAAGTAGTTACCAACATATAGCTGGTGTTATTAAAGGGTTTTTGCTGCTTTAATATTTGCTGCAGGTTTTAGGATATTGATCTCAGTGTACTTTTCTGACTGTTGTTTGCCCAGCTTTCTGGTCGATGCAAATGACTAGCAGATCAAAGGACATCCATGGACTGAAAGAGGAGTAGAGTGTAAGGTGTGAGGAAAAGGGAGACATTGAAGAAGGAAGACAAAAATAAACACAGGGTGGAACAGGCAAAATACAGGGTTTTTTTTAGCGTACTGAGAATGAGAGGCATATACATAGACACAGAAGAATTGGAGAGAAAACAAATATTTTGAAGTGTGAATAGAGAGAGAAGGAGGCAAAGATAGAGAGCTGAGGAGAAAGTCAAAGCAAGTGGGGATAATGGGTCGGTAAGATAAGCACATAAGGGGGAAAACAAGAAACCACATTGTAAAATATGAGAGGGAAAGAGGCACTGTGAAATTTCAGCAGTAGAAATACAAGGACAAACAGAATTTGAAAAACAGACAGGCTTATCTAATTTTTTTCAAAATTGGATTAACAGCAGGAGCAAAACTCGAGTAACTCACCTCTGGCAGTGCCATCTTGAGCCAATAAAATGTCAGTGGCAGTGTCACTGTCATCAGCTGTGTCATCAGTCCGTGCTGACAGCTTCTGGAAGTCCAAGTTGCCACTGATGTACTTATTATCTGCAGTAAGCAAACAAAGACAAAACACACTTTTATAAGAGAAGCAGAATTTTTCTGATACAACACATCAACTGCTAAGCAAAAACAGTGCAAGAACAAGGACAGTCCTTTACTGAAAAAAATATAGAATAAGAGTGACAGTTTACTATACTACATTGATGAGCTATAAATAGTGTGAATGTTATTAATCCTTTTTCCAAAGAAAGACAGTTCAGATGATTACATCTAATACTCAATCATGTTGTACTTCCACAAAAATTTAGTTAATGGTGAGTAAAAGATTAGATTCAAACAGCACCGCAAGACAAAGAGGAAAATCACTGAAAAAAATCAATGCATAAATGACACCTCACACAGGGTGACGGAAATCAAATTCAAAATCATTTTCAAACAGACGTAATTTTCAGTTTATGATGAAACTTGGTTACCTGACAACAGTAATAGATCTTGTTGAATATTTTAACCATAAAAAAGTTTCCAATTAAATCTTTTATCCTTAAAAACTCTAAACGGACTCAGACCACTTAGGTAACTATGTTCATCAGTGGGTCTACATATCATGTGTATGGGCGGTGTGTATTGTTGGGACTTAGTATAATCAAACTATAGGCCTATGTCAGATTAAGAAATACATACTTTTATTTCAGATGGCAAGGGAAAACAAGCATGTAGTTGAAGGAGCTAAAAACAGAGTAAACTAGCAAAGGAAGGCTTGTGGTTAGAAAAACGCCAAAACTTGTATCAACGTCATCTTAACATTTTGAATTCTATTTTACAATTTTCTATAAGCTGTTTAAAATGATTTAAAATATCAATTTTAAAAGATAAAAAAATATAAAGCAATGGTAATATAATGGATTTTGAAGTGAATAACCATTAATTTTCTTTTTATGTGATTGGCCATTTTGGTACAAATGAGTCTGAAGCTGAATAAGAATTAAAGGCAAGCTATTGTACTTGGAGAACAATAAGACAATGGAGGAAACTGTTAGTGTGGTGTATAACTGGAAAGCAGAAAGACTGGCGAAAGTCATTATGACTTGGAATTTATCAAACCTTAGTAAATGAATCAATCTCTACCATCTGGACAAGGTAGTCCTATTCTGAAAGGCATTTAACACTTAACAGTTGTGTTAATTTTAATTCTAATTTATTCACTAGAGGTAATCATAGACTTAAACTATCAGTACAAAAATATCATGAAATTATATATTCTATGACATTCATTACGTTACATGCCAATAGACCTAACAAATGTGAGAGCCCAAGCTGTCGGAGCTGGACCAGCAGAGAGGTACATTGTGGTTTCCTTTGTTTTGTTTGAGTACCAAGGGCGCAATGAAATGATAGCAGTCACTTCATGTGATGTGGGGTCAATATTCCTATCAACACTAAAAGGTTATTCAAAAGTGGCCACAGCAGTGACTAGGTATAACAATAATGTGAACAAAAGATTTGCATAGAGAAAATGGAAAGACAGAAAAATTCCATCTGCAATCATTCAACACAACCATAGCTTAATTATCTCACAAATTATTCAAGTATATAATTGTTTATTTCACATTAGTAGTAAGAGGATCACTGCAGATTATATGTATAAGAGAAACAAAGAAATTGAGAGACTGCTAATAGAACAGTCTCAATTACATGAGCATAAAAGTCTGGCTGAGATTGTAAGGAATATTCAATGACAGTCAACGCAAGCAATTAAGTAAGATGAGATGTCCTTTGAGAGTGGTAAACAGGGAAAAGAGAAACAATACCGGATATAAGAAACTGAAAGAGAGGCGAGAACATCCGTCTTCAGCCAAAACAAGCAAGAACAAATTGAACAGTTCGACCCTCTTTAAAAAAAAAATCCCCCCCCCCCTTTTCCACCTCCCCCAGAAAACCCCCCAACAAAAAACCCCAACACTCCCTGAGCTACATGACTGCAAAGTAAGATAACCTGACCAAGGGAAACCAAAGTTAACCTCAAAAGAAAGGCAGAGATACAAGTTAACAGCTTGAAACATGTAATGCATCCACACCTATATGCCTCCCCCCCCCCCACTCTGTCCCCCCCCCTCCCCCCGGCAAACCCTTGCCTATGAGGATAGAGCATCAAATCGTCAATAAGCTGTTCAAATGTTTAAACACTTTGACGCCTCATCTCGCCGATTGGCGATGTTTACCACCCAGTTTCTTTGGATTTTCCCCAAAATATGAGGGTAAAGTGTTAAAGCCCAGAAAGCAACAATTTTCAGAAGAGGGAAACATACGTTAACTTTTCTATAAAAGATTGTATCTATATTATGTACTTGAGCTTTTTTCAACACTTCTTAGAATCTAAATTTCAACAAAATATTTCTTGAGCAGATGTACTTGACACCACAGATTCAAGATTAAATTGCAATCAAGAAAAAAACAAAAATTTTAGGCTAAGTACATCTGAACAGCTGGCCGAAGAAACAGATAGATGCCCCTGCTGGCATGGTTGGTGTTGTATGTTTTAGACTGAGCACACCCTCCCTTCAGCGTAATCTTTCATGTAAAAGTGAAAAAAAAAGTCAATCAAGTAGGCCTACACATATATCTGGGCTAATGCAAATCCACACTTCAAAATATTAGGTCTTTTTCTTATAAACCTTTTGGTTAATCGTGTGAAAACTGGAACAAGATGAAAATATAAATGCCGTTTTTAATTCAAATAATGGGAACAATGGTTCAACTAGCCGACTTGCATGTTAAACTGTTATAATACTTTTCATGAGCTATTAAATCAAGCTTTCAAACTTTCAACCAAACCAATTAGATAAGGCGGATAAATTTCACTCGTCTCTACCAAAATTCACCTCATTTCTATTCTACAAAAGAAAAAAAAATACCGGAGTCAAAATAGGGTCCTTTTCTTTCCTTCTCTGAAATTCTATGAACTTCTGCCATCGTCACAGCTGAGAGCTCCCCTGCGGGTTCCTCTCTATGGCCAGACATTAGCACCATTGTGGAGTCACTATCATATTCATCTGACTCCTCACACTGAGATCTTACAGCTTGATGAAGACAAAAACAGGAAAACAGTAGGACAACCCAATCAGCAAAATAGGAACTAAAGGTTTATTCTAGTTTTACCAAAGAGTTTTACGATTGTCTCTCCTACAGAGGAAATTTCTAATAAGCCTAGAATTCTCATGGTAAAGCTGATTTTTATGAACATGACTGTTTTTCCTACTTGGTAAGGTCTCCTGTCTTCAGGCAGCCACATTCCGATTTCGATGGCACCCTGTGTTTACACTGACTAAACTATTTTCAGTTTTGGCGGGAATAGATTTTGAATTTTGCCCTGGCGGCGGCTGAAGCCTACTCTTATAGATTTTAGGATTACCAAGAGATCTCTAATGTGAACATAGGACCTCAAAGATTTTTGTACTTATACGAGAAGGCTATGTGTTAGATTTTTACATATCCTAAGATCAGGGGTGCGGCTGAAAGACAGCAGTAAGAAGGAGTCAGATGTAGAAGTAGACAGAGTCAGGCGTAAAAGAAACAGGTCACCACAGGAGAGGGGGGAGATCAGAAAATGGGGATGAAATCAAGCGACAGAACATGACTAGAAAACAGGAAAGGAGGTGAAAAGAGAACATTTTTAAAGAAGAAAATATTTTTGTCACTGTCAGGTTTTGAACTTGGAATCTATTGATTAAGAGATGAACACCGCATCTTTAGACCACAGGAGTCCCCTAACCATTATTGTGAGACTCAACTCCCTACAACAATCACTGAATGAGGATGTTATTGACCACAATAATGAAAATTATGATGTTGTCTTTGCATATTTTTCAAATTTAAAAAGGACATTAATGCAGTTTTCAAAATTTTGTCTACAACCATACTAATAATTTTTTAATAAATTTAAGCTTGTAAAAGCTGTATGTAAAGCTTTAAATTTTGTTTGGATCTACAGGGATTTGGTGTATTTGTTACAGAAACAAATAGGAGTTAAAATGGAAAGAGCGTGCTGTGTGTTAACTAGGTTTAGGAGTAGACAAATACCAACACAGGGAAATCATAGATGCTCTTTAAGAAAACATTACATTCTTTTCAAGCTTAGACTGTGTATTCAAGGACAATACTTGAAAGTATATGTTTATGCTGTCTTTACAGAATCATGAATAAGAATAGGGAGAATGCATATTAGGCAACATCATGTATTATTATGCCTCTTAATGTTTGTAGTAAACAAAATCTAATCCATAATTATTTTTTTAAAGTGCAGAAGGGAAAATTCATAGATCAAATATTGACATAGAAAATTTATAGATCAAATACCTGCTGATCTAGAATTATAACATAACGCGCCCTAATGTGCCACAAGATCACAAAATCAGTGGTGAGCACCATAGGTTTGAACAAAACTTGTTTTTTTTAAAGAGATGTCCAGTTTGTGTGATATCAAGACTTGTTTTTAGTCTGGGTGTCAACTCAGTATAAAAAGTGTAAAAGTAAAAATTACTATCATGTACTAACAATTTTATTGCATCAGATTGATAATTATGTTTTACACTTTCTCGTCACTTAAAATGAAAGTGCGACCAAATTTTCAATTAAATACCCAAAAAATAATATCATTAGTTGACAAAACAGATTTTCTCAGTACCTGACTGAGGCCACTGGTTTGCTCTTTTTTGCTGCAAGCTGAAGAAAATGTCTGAGTGAAAGGAAAAGAAGCTTATGTGAAAAACCAGCAAAACAATAAGTAAGAACAAACAAAATTCATACCCAACAAAACATATTTTATTTGGAAGAAGTAGAAAATCCATCCTATACCAAGTAATCACCTAAGTTAAATAAATTAGTAGAGAAAGAGTTAGAAAGAAAGCCGTGTTCTCAGAAATCAATAGAATTCCTCAGTTTTGTTATTCCCAGTCTCTGCTTTCCCCTCCAATTCCTTTTTTTTTTTTCTTTCTCCTGGGCAGACCCAAAGAGAGATAAACACAAAAAAAACCCAAAAAGCTATTCCACCATAGACAATTAACTGTAAAAGAAAGAAGTTAAAGCTAATATCTAAGTGCATCATCTTTGACATAAGCGTGAGAAATGAAAAACTCATGAGTGTGAAACTTCACAGAGCAGGTTTGAAAAAGTGAAAACAAACACTGTGAAAAACACGATGTTGCAAAAAGTAAGATGTATAATGTCTATAATCTATAATTTATAATATATAACCTACAGTTGTTGTGTAGAGGACATACACATACATTTCTACAGACAAATGGCTGAAAAGAATAGATGAAACTGATTTGGATAGGCTTTTTTTGCTCGATTATTGTGATAATATAAGATGTGAAAAGTGAATCACAGAGAGTAGGTACTACAATATATCTAAAAACTGCTGAAGTGAAACCCGCATATCATGAAAGAAAAGTTGCATGTTTTCTCTTACTGTGCTAAATGTTTACACAGAAATGTATGTTGAAAATCGAAGCCGTGTACTCCTTCGAATTCAAAAGATGTTTAGGCTTTAATGATGCAGAGAAAGAGTTTCGTTGGTTGTAATGTTCCTTTTTCAAGTTTGACACTTGTAATTTGTAAAACATATTTAACACATACATGGAGTGCAATAGGAGCCTCATACAATATCGATAGTTTTAATGAATGATATTGTTGCTCCTTCTTGCATACAGCTTGATTCACTTAATAAAAATGGCTTTTCTTTAAAACAAACTAGAAATGAAGTAAAAGGATTTCCGCACATCAGTTTATGCAAAAATATTTCTTTTACTTTAGCAGACTGAAAGAATTTAATAATATTGTCCTATACCTATCTACACAGTCATTATAGAAAAATATACTGATTATGATGACAAAGGATGATAAAGATGGGAAATAGCTAAAAGAAACATTGGCTCACCCTTAGAACTGAAAGTAGCACCAGACGAGTAGCTTCTGGACGTTGTGCTGACACGAGCCTCTCTGTCCCACGCAGCATCACTCGTGTGTCTGTACTTGTCTCTGTGGTCACTTCGTGGCTGCAGGTCCCGATGTAAATGTTTATCTAGGTATAAGGATGAGCCTCTGTCTTGCAATGTATCTTCGTAACTCTTCCGCTCTATTGATGAAGAAGTTTTACTGTATTTATCGGCATGCAGCTTCTCAGAAACTTCCCCATCTGGCCTGGATCTGTCTGAATATAGTACACTTCCCCTGCTGATGGAGTCTGAGGTCTTTGGAGTAGAATTTTCCTTCAGCTGATGTCTCAAACGACCCGACTCTAACCGGTCTCTTTCCTGCAAAAGTCTGGCACTTGTTTCCAACATGCGAGCATCAGAATCGTAGCTCCTGTTTAGAGTAGAATGTCGTAGTTCTTTTGGCGCTAGGTCTTCTCTGTAAAGGCGCGAGTGAGAGTAATGACCTGCAGAGACAGGTGGGGCGATTTCCTTGTCTCGTCTGTACGCAGAAGCTTGCCTCGCAACTCCATCATCTGAAAAAAGAGTTAAAGAGTACGTGTTCTTGTCTTAGAATAAAAAGAGCACATCAACACAAATGGTGACTAAGACCTTGGCCAAAACAAGATGACAACAGAAATACACACTGAGATGCCAAAGAAATATGCAGTCAGAGGTACTGACAAAGTTTATAAAATAAAGAAAATTGCTAATGTCTTATGTCCCCACTGATTAGATCATTTGGGAGGAGGACTGCTTCCACCCTGCCAGGCAGGGCCAACTTGGTCTAAATAGAACACAACGTCCCAGCAGTCTGATGGGGATACTCGTTAAAACATACCTTCTCCACATGGAAATCGAACCCATACATGGATATTAATCAGTGTATAACAGTGAAGCTTTGACTTACCATGTCACAGACACCCGTACACAATATCAGCGACTGAATATCTAATTAAGTTGAATACGGAGCTGGCTGCAAATGACATCAAATAAAATCAAATACTATTTGTTCTTTAATTTTAATTGTCAAAAAATCTCATTTTGGTAATAGATGAAGTATGACCATATATTTTTTAAATTTCTTTCTTTAGTAGCTAAGGTGTTTCTATTGCTGAAGTCATAATGTCACTGTGATGACAAGAATAATGAGTAAAGGTTTGCCACTGATTTACAGGGTGTATGTAAATAATACAAAAGATTTAATTTTCCTACTTTTTATGCGCTTACACTATTTACATAAATAGCCCAGTAGTTTGTTATAGTATCATATTGTCAAGATAATAAAGTGTTTTTAGATAAATGTTATGAAAATCTTAAATCTGAACAAAAAGAAACTAAAGTGAAACAAGGACGTATACTTTGATAGAAAGTCCTCTCAGAATGTTAGGAGTTCTGCAGTTAATTTTATGACATTCATTCCATGTTAGAACAACACCATGACCCTTGGAGTTGCAGGATTTAAAATAATATTAGAAACAATAATAGAAATACTTAAGCAACAGTAGAAGCAGCAGCAGCAACAAAAACAACAACAATATTTATGACAATTATTTCAGGAGGAAAAAAGGAGACTGCCTCATGTATTCAGGAGGTGGTGACCCTGGTGAGAAGTACTCTCCTTGGAGTCGGCGGCCTCCTCCACCAGTCAGCCACACATACGCACAACAACCACAGTAACAATGACAACAATAACAAGAAGAAGAAGACAAAGAAGGCAACTGAAAAAACACTGGTGTCTGCACAGAATAATACCTGATCTTATACTGCTTGTGAGCCGGGCTCCTACTGATGTGGAAATGGAAGCATCTGTGGGTTTTATTTTGCTATGACTCTCAAAAAGTCGCATGTTTTCCTCCGTCAGCTGAAAATTCCTTTCTTTTAAGCTGCGAACATCTTCTCTCAGAGTTCTTAGTTCGACTCTAAGATGTTGATCCGAATCCGACTGCAAAGAGGGGATAAAAACACATAATAACACCGATGAAAATGGTGAGGATCTGAGTCTCACGGCAAAGAAGGGAATAAAAACACACAACGATGACACACACAGATGAGGATGGTGAGGTCAAAACTTTCTCTATCTCCCAGAGAGAAAATCCCTTTGACATTTCATGTATACAACAGTATTGTGAACTTCAGGTATGAGGACTCTCCTTTGTTCTCTATCTCTCTCTCTGCTTTCCATATTTTTTTTATCCTTCTAAAAGTATCAGTGAAAAAGATATAAGTGATCCCTTATGAGACTGATGGCTTGCCACAAAGTTTTGAGCCAAATGTTTTTAAAACATCCCTTTTGCACAGGGTTGGTGAATATACACCTAAAAAAAAGCATCACTGATGGTTTCATTCCCTTTGTAGCTCAATTTCTGGCTGTTGTTGGTGATCTTCATACTAACATAGCTAAACCTGACTAAGGGAAACTTAGAAGCAAGCATTTATACATGGAGGGATATGCAAATATGCAAATATGAGCGGGTGGCAGGACCGTGTTGAACAAGGACACTCATGTATCAGTACAGAGTACACAGGAGAAATGTTGAGTGAAGAAATGTATACGAATTTCATAATTAGTAAACAGAAAAACTTATAAAACATCATTCGGAATATCGTTTTCCTGACAAAAGGAAAACTGACAGAGGACGGATTTCATTCTTCAACTTCTTTTGTGATAATAAAGAGATAATTTGCATTATTCTGTTCTCAAAATAATAATAATAATAATAATAATAATAATTGCATTTATATAGAGCATATCCATGCTCAAGAGCATGCTCTATGCGTTTTACAACTATCATTACCCCAGCAGACCCTCTGAGAACCCTCAGAAACATTCTCGACTTCCACGGAAGCGTACAGTGCAAGCTGCGGATTTCACGCGCTCAAGCACTATCAAACTGACAAGATCGTTCACTGTCTATAGCCGGGTACCCATTTCCACCAGGGTGAAGTGAGGAAAAATTGTGCAAAGTGCGTTTCTCAAGGACACAAATCAACTTGGCAGGATGTTTGTTGATGGAATATAGTATTTATAAAACGTTTTGTTTTACTAGGGTGCCATCTACATTAACAAGATTAAAAGATCACATTAGATTGGAAAAGAAAAGAAAAACATCAAAGACAGATACAACTTCTGTGAACTCAGTATTTTTTTAATACAGTCAGATAACAGGAACACGAAAAGCTCAAAATCATGGACAGCCTGTACAATTTTCCATTCTCTGGCTGATAGTTCTTTGGTTTTTTTTTATTGGTTCATCAATTATTATGGGTGTGCTGAGCACAGTTGTCAATCCCTGACAAGTTAGAGTTATTTATACTAAATTGTACCGAGAAAGTAGCACTCCTCCTGAAAAGCCAAAACACACTACAAATAGGAATATATTATACCTGCAGGTCATTTGCACTTAGCGCACGCGCCTTCAGTTCCTTGTTTTCAGCTGAAAGTCTCTTAACTTTCTCCTCTGCCTTGTTTATATTGAAAGTTGACGATTCATTCACTTCTTGTAAGTCACGGATATGAGCCTCTAGATCACCTGCACAGACAAATCAACATAAATGGAACGTGACAAAGATGATGACCGATTGTCAATACTGTATGCCTCAGTCTACATAATTAAGACCCTTTAGAAGGTGGGCTACTTTGACGCTGTTTGTAATATGTAAGGGTCAAATATGTTTCAGTGAGATACAGAAATTCTTAAAACAGACAGAAATACTCGATAAAGTAAATTTCTCCGAGCGGGAACCAAAACTTGGTCACCTGCGTGCAAGGGCAAAGACCCAAGCCCTTACTTACATACAATAGACGAAGATGGTTTTAGTTTTTAATTAAATGATCAAAATCTTGAATATCTTGAATACAACTTACTGCATTACAGAGTGAGTTACTTCATAAAAGTAAACGGATCTAATATGAACACATTATATCACACAAGCCGGTACAATTATAGTAACCATAACTGACAGGAATGAGTATGATGATAATGAGAAGATGATGATGATGATGAAGCTTATCATAACAATGATGATTATGGTGACAATAATAATAATAATCGAAAGGAGGAACACTGAACCACTCTGCAGCCAAAGTTTTACTCTAAAAAAAAAATAAATAGATGACGATAACAATGACCCTGATTTTCACATTGACGGTGATGATAATAATGATAATAATAATGATGATGATGATGATGATGATGATGATGATGATGATGATGATGATGACGATGATGATAAGGATGACAACAGGTGTTTGAAAATCCATGGTGATGATGATAACAATGATTACAACATTGATAACGGTGATGATGATGATGATGATGATGATGATGATGATGATGATGATGACATAGATGACAACATGTTTTAAAAAATCACCTATTTTGCGTTGTAAAACAACAGGGTGGTTTGGAGAGTAGTCGCTAATACCAGAACTGGTAGAGTTTCGGCCGCTTCCTGACCCTTGACTGAGGGTCATGCGCTGCAGTTCTTCTCGCAATGACACAACCTCTTTGGCCAAGATTTCTTTCTCAGACAGCAGCTGCTTGAACTAGGAACAAATCACAAGAGAATACATTTAAAAAAAAATGGGATTCATCATGTCTGAGATTGTATTGTCCTAGCAGGCTGAATGACTCCATTCCAAAGGTAGACAGGAGAAAAAAAAAAAGGAAAATTTTGTATTGCAAACCTTACAAACAATATTAGGAAGGAGAGGCAAAGAAGTAAACATTATGTAAAATAATACAAATGCTGCAGAGAATATTTTTTTTCCAGCAAAGAGAAAAAGGAAAAGAAAAAACAAAACAAAAAGCCTTTTCAAGATTTTTCTATGTTTCTCACACCCAGTGTAATATTCTTGTCACCAACAAAGCCGGAATGGCTATAACAAAACTCATTAACAAACTACTTCTCACCGACTTACCAAGACTGTTAAATTGTTAAAGCCTACCTCAGCAGTTTCACTTGAGACTGGGGTATGCCTTCTGCCTCGATGGTCAAGCTCTTCCTTAAGGGACCTATTTATGTCCTTGAGGTCCTGCATCTGCGTTGACATTGAGTGGACTTCAGCCTCCCGGCTCATAAGAAGCTTTCGCAGATTGCTTACAGTTACTTCAAGGTCATTACGGCGTTCATGATTACTCTGGAAACAAAATATGCAAATGAATGGAACTGTAGTTAAAATTTGTTTATAAGTATCACTTCATTTCAAAGAAAGTCAGTAAGTCGTTTTTGGGAAAGTGTATGGGCACACTAGAATTTGGTAATAATTTAAAAAATACATGTGTGTGTGTGTGTGTGTGTGTGTGTCTCTGTGTGTATGTACTGTGTATGTGTGTGTGTGTGTGCGTGTGTGTGTGTGTGTATGTGTGTGTGTGTGTGTGTATGTGTTTGTGTTTGTGTTTGTGTTCAGCAACCACACTTCAAACCATCCTTTGAATATTTTTTAATGTTTGATCAGCTTGCCTGCACAATAGACATGACTCCAGCTGAGTTCAACTTGAGAACATGGCAGGGGTCAGATCTTTTCTTTGTGGGCAGAATGTGATAAACCCTAATGGCCACTGTTGTTATCATCATCACTATGATCATTATTTCAATGAAGCAAAGCAGCAGTCAATTTAAAGAGTACTATGGCCAGCACCATTACTCAAACCTGACTCAGTAGAAACTGATCATGCACTTAACCAAAAAGCATCTATTTTAAAACAAAAAGCATGACTTACATTTTGCTGCTGTGGCAATCTATAATTCAAAGACACTAAAAAAGTAACCTTTAGAAAGCATCAATAATAAACTCATTTGCTTGCTCTAGAGTCACTAAATTTCAAAATTAAATTAATTTTATTTTCAAAATCTACAAAGAAGGATAAAAATTATGTATATAGAATATAGGAAATGAACAAAAATATACAAGTCTATTCAAGTCAGGTGCTTTTCTTTAAAACCTCTGTTTTTCAAGGCAAAGATGTAAAGTTTGGAAAATATGTTTGTAACACAATATAATTTTTCAAGCTCTAAAAGCACATACAAAATTCAATTTAACTTTTTCTCAGGAGAATAAAGGTTAAGGAAGAATTGTAAGTAAAATTAGGCTTTAAGTACAGGCATAAACCTGTAAAATACTTCACATTTCATAAATACAGGTTAGGAAAAAAAAATTATAGCTAAGATTGTCATGATCCCTACCTCTCGAGTTCCGTTCTCCACAGCTACAGGTGTGATGGTACGACTACTCCCACGGGATGAAACTGATGAGGTATGGGAGACAGCGCTTGTTCTTCCTAGGGTCTCCTCCATTCTCTCTGTCACCAGGGAACTACGGAAAGCGGGAACATCTGTCGAGGGGGGTACCCGTATGCGGTTGTCTGGAGTCATGCTGCGCTTCTCTGCGTTCATCTGGAGAATCAGAAAAAACATAGCACCATAAATGTCCAGAATTGAAAATGATTTACACTACCAATTGTAGATGCTTGTCTTTTAAGTATGCCTCACAAATTGCAAAGTGACAGCAGAGAATCTATGAGACCTACAAGTTCACACATTAAAAACAGTTTTAACACCCTATGTACCACCAAGAACGCTCAGATCATCGAGTGACAAAACAACCTTTATTAAACCTAAAATAAATTACAAATCATACGGCCAATGTTCTTTTTCATATTTTGCCCCACTTGTTTGGAATAGGCTTCCAAAAACTATCAGAGAAGCAGAAAATCTAGAAATTTTAAAGAAAAAACTAAAAGCATTTCTATTTTCATCATGTTTCTATCAGACAGAATCCATCGAGCTGTAGATCGTCGAGAGTTTTTGTGTGCGTATATGTGTATGTGTGTATGTATGTGTGTGTGGGTGCGAGTATGTGTGTGCACGCGTATGTAATACTATTTGCCTATAAAATAGATTTGTAATTCCATAATATGTTTCACGTTAAGCGCATAGAGCATTGCATAAATGGATATGCGCTATATAAATGTAATCAATTATTATTATTATTCATGGAATTTCTGAGAAAAGAGGCTGGAGGAATTTAATTCAGTTATCAGGATCTGCTAAATTTTAGAAGTCATATTTAAAAAGGGGGCTTTTTGGGGTGTATAAGAGAGAAGCACTTTTCTGCAAAGACCTGCCATTTTTTAAACTTGCTTTCAAAAAGATGGAGCATGGAAAAAGTGTAATGTCTTTTTGACACCTTTGATAGTTCAAATAAAAATTCGACAAGGTGTATGTGTACTTATATTTTTTTTCTGAGCACTGTCTGTTACATTAAATAACAGTTGTTTTGCCAATTCCAAATAATGTTGAAGAAGCAAACATGATGCATGATACATCAGTATCTCAATACAAATATTTCAAATTCTGCCTTAATATGAGAATTATAAATTGCTCAAGACACTACTTGACAAAATCATTTCTAATACAACAGTGACTAAAAATTTGTCACTGGAAATCAATAGTGACTCTCATTTATTCTTTTCCTTTTATTTTTCAGGGGAGACAAAGGAAATATGAGTAAATAATTCATCAATTGTACCTGAAGTTGTGTGGTGTAGTTGGGCATACTAGTGGGTCTCTCTGTCCCTCGCATGATAGCTGGGTCCGTCAGAGACTCGTCCGGATGGGATTCCCCACCTGCTGGTAACAAGTGCTCCATGCTGTCTTGCCTAAACAACAAGTACACACGCACAATGAATGAATGTTCATTTTGGAATTCAGTTTTTAAAAGTATTGTTCACAATTGGATCAGCACTTATAAAGAGCAGACGGTAGTGTAGCTGTTCTTCATAAAAGCGTGAGGATCATCAAATGATTAGAAAAAGCAATAACAGAAATATTATTTACACGAAGAAGTAAAAACCCTCATTTTTTTCAATTGCTACGTTTCAATTCTTGTTCTTATGATTCTGAAGAACATCTTGATTGCTACTATACAAAAGTGCTCCCAATAGTCATTAAAAAAAAAAAGAAAAAAACTGTGAGTAAAATATTATTAGAACAAATTTACACAATAGTAACTCCATACAGAAAGACACAGAAAACAAAGAAAAATAAAGTTAATAAACAACTGTTACAACATTCATCAAAAAGAATAAAAGACATAAACAGTCTTTTTTAACAGAATCAAAGTAGCAGCTATGGTGTAAAAACAAACAGAGCATTTAACGACTATTTTCTCTTCAGGCATAAAGAAATTTGAAAGTGTCCACAAATAAACAAAAATAACCATTCAAAATATTTTTAAAAAAAGAAGTGCATGATTAAGACTCATGTGCACACACATATATAAACACATAATATGTACATTATAATCATTTAACTCAGATCAAAGTCAATCCTACTTCTTCAAAACTTAACTCACTTAGAACCAGACTCGAGATATTGTGTCAGTTCTTGCTCACTGCTTAGACTTCCCTGACTCTGAGGCCTGCTTCCGGCTCGACTCCCTCGGAGGCTGGGTGGCCGATTACTTATGTCTCCAGCATCAATTCTACATAAAACAACAGTGCATATGGTCAGTATTACTCATTTTGAAAACAATCCAGTTCACTGCCATGCCAATAGTTATTACCCATTAAAGGGATAAACTCAGAACAAAAAATTGAGTACATCGTTTTCTCAAGATATGAAAAACAAAATAACAGGAGAACCTTGTATTCTATTTAGTTTCCATTCCCTTTTAACTAAATGAATTGATTCCTTTACTTATAGAAGCTTACACAATCATGTCATATGTTTCTCTTTCACTCTCACGAAGTAAGGGTTACGCTAAGCAGCAAACAGATTTTTTTGTAACAAGAAAACAAGTTCTAAATGTAGAAAGCAAAATAAAGAAATGGAAGACAACATATAGCACATGCAAATGATAAAGTAGCAGTCTCCATTGCATGTAATTTAAACACCAATGCTTATTAATGAAGAATGCACAAATCTACTCTTGATCTATTACAGGTTGTTTTCTAGCATTTTTACTCTTGAAAGGACTTTAAATGGCTTTTCAAAACCTAACTTACTAATTTCCTGTAAATTTTTTTATGAGAGCTTTGTCATGATTTCTTTTATTATTATTTTATTTCATTAATTAATCTTTTTCTTTTTTTCTTTTTCTTTGCTTCAACATGAAATTGAGAAAATTGCCTTTAAAATTAATGGCCTTATTAAGAAGTCTAACATGGTGCCACACAATCTTTCTATGCTGCTTATCAAAATCAAAAACATACATTCAAATCAGACAGAGAGACAAACATAACATTGAAGGCAGAAAAAAAAGAAAGAAATGAATAAAAAAAGATTTCTTACAATCTTTCTCTGCTGCTAACTAAGCTGTCTCCTTTAGCATCCTTCAAAGGAGAAGATCTGGCAGACGAATGCACGGAGTTAACAACAGGAGATGTGGTCCGACCATTCATGACATTTGGAGAGCCAGTATCATTGGCAGAGGAAAATCTGGAACCTGATGAAGGTCTAGAAATACTAGGCGTTTCCTCTCTTGCAACGGATGGCGAAAATCTATCACTGGCTTTTGATGGAGGTCGTCTGAAAGAAAACTTTATATATAACAAGCAATATATTTTTCGAGACCAAATTTCAGAAGGAAATAGTTTTTACTTTTCCTTCTAGATCCAAATACACTTACACTAATCCCGAGTAATCTGAAAACAGCGGAAAACCAAAAGAAAAGAAAATGTCTAATTTGTTTCTTCTATTTGAGCAACTTTTCTAAACTAAAAACTCTGCTAAATTGAAAAAAATCTGACAAGCCCGTAGATTTCAATTTAAGCGGACTCAACTGTAATTTATTTTAAAACAAATTAAACTCCAAAAGATTTTATGATAAGAATACTTGCAAAACTATCACCTCCCTAAAATAATATGATATTTTTCAGATATATGGAATAAAAAATCTTCTGAGCTCAGTAAGCTAAACAAACAAATATCTTTCAAAATCTTTTACATCTTTTGATTTATTATTCAAAGCAATTTCCATATGAAGGAAAAACAAAAAACAAAATCCCCTTCAGACACACAAGCACACACAAACAAGCACACACTTACACATGCACACATACACACAAAAACACACACACAGTAGCTGCCCAAAGACAAAGGAACACAAAATATCATGAAGTTTAGTTGAGAAGGCTTTAAATTAAATGTGATCATTGCGATGTATTTTTGAGCAAGACACATAAACCCTAGCCCAAGAAATGTAGGTCGATGGAGTGAAGAGTCTGCACCGAACTGTTTTAGACAAGTTATAATTGTCAGTTTCAATGTGTAGTTGTAATTATGTTTCGTTAAACTAATCGTTGTGCATGTTATTAATAAAACAATCTCCTTTGAGGGATTAATAAAGTTCTATTTTCTCTTCTTTCAATCCTAATACAGTCAAACCTGTCTAAGTTGACTACCTGTTGAAGTAGTCATCTTAGAAAAGTGGTTTTATATGACAGGGCCATTATAATATTTTTAAAAAATTCAAGTGGGAAGTGGTCATTTGTTCAGGTTATTGCTTTGGAAAGGTGGTCATTAGGGCAAAATCAACTGTAGAAATTCAAGCATTAAGTTCTCACCCATAGATCACATCTTGAGCAGGAGATGGACGTGCTGACCCTTGTGCTGATCCGTGGCCAGATCCCCCACCTAAAGAAGGAGGCCTTGACCCTCGCACGGGTACCACATCCATGTCAAGGTCAGCTGCCAGAGCCAGGCTCCCAGAGAGTTGAAATGTAGGTCGATGGAGTGAAGAGTCTGCTACGACGTCTTCTACCAGCTCATCATTTACTGCAATTCGTTCTGATATCTGGGACACGGACCTTTCAGGAGTACCCACTGGAGATACTTCTTTACTGCTGTGTAATCTGCCTCCTGTAACAATCTTGTTGCTGCTCCCGTTTAGAACGCTATCAATAGCTGGTTCAATAAATTTACCTACGTCATCATCTCCTACAGGGGAATGTCTTTTGGAGATGGTTACTGATCTGCTCGAGTCTGATTTGAAGGAGGATGATAAGAATGCATCTTCGCCAGCAGTAGTTTCTTGGTTGTTCATTTGCCTCCACTTAATATCTTCTATTTTTGGCTCTGTGTCTAAACGAACATCAGCAAAATCTCCATCGCTGAGCTGACCATCTTTACCACCATCCAGCTGTGAAGAAATGTCTTTGCAAGTATCTACTTTCGTTTCAGATTTCTGTTTGTCGCAGTTCACTTCTTGCTGGTCTGCTTTCTTGACCACCTCCTCATCTTCTATTACATCTGGAAGAAATAAATCAAAAGACATACTCAAAACAATGTCTGCTCCAATCCAATATAACCGCACATTCTCCTTTTTTCTTGAAAATGAAAAAGATATCAAAACAGGTCTCCACAAAACATTGACAGGAAAAAGAAAATGGAAAAAATAATACATATTATAATCCTTCTCCATCCAGCACTTCTTGACATTTCAATTATAGCTGGTAATATGCTCATACTACTGCTGCCTGAAAATAATATTCCATGCATGACCACATGAGACGTTACAACCTCTTAACTACAAGGATAATTTTTACAGGTATAAACAAAATACACTGAGTTACATATAACAGAAAAGGCAATTATAAGGATGGGCTTCTTATTTTACAAAAAAAGAGCCTGCCCCAAAAATATTGTTTCCATATCTGCATTCTCATACATTTCTCTGAAAAAAAATTACAGGATCTCACCACCTAAGCTCCTCAAAAAAACAAAAAAACCCCCCCAAAAACATGTATGCCACTTCATGCTGAGGTGTGTGTTCAATGTGCAGATGGGTAAAATATTTTATAACACGCTCTGATCAGGAGTGTGCTTAGGCCAGTGGGGGTTGACTCATTTTAGCTTAGGCACGATGAGAGCCTTTTCCTTGACATTTAACAAATTGATAATACAACTACTTTTGGCTGGATGAACATAAGTTTGTCCGAATAGAATGAAATATAAGTTGTGCATACAGTGACTGCTTCAAAGCCCTGTATGTTGTGCCCGAAAACCTTTTTTTATAAAAACCCACAGATAAAAAAAACCCCAAACCAGTTCTCTTTCACTTCTGTGTCATCAGTACTACTTTACTAGAAACATATACAACATTATACACCAGGACGACCTAATGTGCTTTGAATTTAATTTTGATATTGATAATTTAACACTTGACAAAAACAAGCCGTCATTTCTTTTAGTTTGTCCAATTATAACAAGTAAAGTCATTTAGAAAAAGCCCAAAGAAATTTTATTGAAAATAAACAGGTGAATAAAAAAAAAATTACACAAGAACATTTCTATTAAATTTTGCATTTCAGTGCAATAATAACTGACCCCCAACGGCCTCAGATTCCATTGTAAAGAAATACCACAAAAGTACACTCTCCCAGTCCTCCGTTTTTTTTTCACAATGGAAGAGAAACACACAGCACGGGTAGTTATTTAGTCCTGAATATTACAGGGGATCTCTTACACTACAGACATTCAACACAGAAACCATTTGTACCCTGTAGAGGCTGAGCCCATAAGCTGACTAAAGCTGACCAAGTGGTACAGAGTTTAAAGTAGGGATTACTGTCGGCTCTTACAACTCACAGCTTTGAGCTGTGCCTGGGCTAAGCTTGCAGAATGACAGGACAGGTACTGACGAGGTGGGACAGAAGCTAAAATAAACAAGTAAAGGAAATAACTCTCTGTGAGCGGTCCAGTTTTCTTTGTCACTGCATTCTAATCATTCTTCTTATGTCTCCGTCCAGACTTAGTATATAGAACTCTTTAGTTTGAGCTGCTTTAGCTTAACCTGTTCTTTCTTCTCAATTCTTGTCACTGACATTTGGCACTTGTGTGGTGGCACTAGAAAGCCTGTTGCTTAAATTCTCATTCAGAGATGTGTGATTAAAGTCAGTAAAGGGGGCTCTTTCGGTCTGGAGGCTATGGTGTTCTCCTCTTATTTAATAGGTCCCAGGTTCAAAGCCGGACATGAAGAGTGACGGAAAATTTTCTTCGATAAAATTTCCTACTTTCACTTCTTTTTCTTCTCTCTAACCATGTCTCTGTCATCCGCCTTCGTCTCCTCTTTCTGCACCCACCCCCTTTTGCTCTTTAATTCCTCTGGGTTCCTGACTCTTTCTGCCTTTCAGCTACTACTCCCTCCAGCTTCTTATACTGCTATCTTTCAGCCACACCCCTGATCTTACAGTATAAGATATACACCTAGCCTTCTCAGACAAAAGGGAAAAATCTCAGAAGTCTCGTGAGCAAGTTGTGCACATTAAAGATCCCTTTGTGGTCCAATATTGATAGGAGAGTAGGCTTCGGCTGCCATCCGGGCAAAATTCAAAATTAATTTACCAAACTGAAAATGTTTTGTTTTACCGCGCGCTGAACTTAAAAGCCAAAATATGCAGTTGCGAGTGCCGTAAAACACTAACTAAAGCAAAGAAAAAAAGGGAGAAATTGACTCTACACCAAAAAAATTGAACTTAAACATTTTTTAAATCATTCCAATTAAAAACAACAGTAAAAATTAGTGTATAAAAACATTAATCTACAGATCTATATATTTATTTTATGTTTCGTTGACCCTATCTCTAAAATCTAGGCTACCTTTAGTACAGGCCTATAATACTATATAGGCCTCGAATCTATATAAAAATGTAGCTACTAGATCTATAAATGCCAGCATGCGAGTTCTGTTGCTTTTTTAGCAACGCCTCTCGATTTGTGTGAATGGTCAGGATTCATATATATGATCTTTGATTCAATAGCATAGTCAGAATCGCCATGGGAGAGGAGAGCTCCTAAAAATGAAATTCTATCACGAGATTCTCTGGTACTGGTACATATCATAATACAAGAAAATGATAATATAATCTAGAATCTAGATTAGATAATCTAATCTAGAAATAGAGAGTAGAGGGCTTCACGGCTACGGCAGTTATCGTTGGCGCAGGTATTATAATTGATTTTGAAATATAAAGCCGTACAGTGGCCACTTGTAAAAGAGTATCAAATACTAAAAATTAGCGAAGAAAGTACGAATTTAAAGGCATTCAAGGGATTAGATAGATCTTGATCTAGATTATATCGAGGTACACCAAAAATTACAATGCCAATGCTTACGCCGCCATTATTGTTTACATAAAACTTCAACTCGTTGTCACGGTGGAGTTTCGTATAAAGTTGGACAGGCACGAACTTGCGATAGATATCTAGCGAAAAAAAATTACAATAGCTCCGGGCTCCGGTTGGCCAACTTCCTGATCCACTCTCACCCCAGGACTCCGCACAAACCAGTGGCCTGCTACCTGGCGCTTGCAAATGAACAGTGATAAGCACCGAAAGAATGGCTCTGTTCACACACATACACACCGGCACACGCTAGGCTAGGCTACTACTACTAGATCATTGTAGGCCTAGAAAATGAGCGCGGAACAAAGTCTACACGTCATAATATGTGCAACGTAACTGTCTGGAACATAAAAGAACAGAGGTGACACATTATTGGTGCTTCGCGCAAGAACATGAGGCGACCATTAAAATTTAATTTTAGTGACAACGCATAGAGAGAGAGAGAGAGAGAGAGAGAG